GTTTCTCTTCGCGGGTTGGTCGTCTCTCCCCCGCGGGTCAGTCTTCTCTCCCCCGCGGGTTGGTCGTTTCTCTTCGCGGGTTGGTCGTTTCTCTTCGCGGGTTGGTCGTCTCTCCCCCGCGGGTTGGTTGTCTCTCCCCCGCGGGTTGGTCGTTTCTCTTCGCGGGTTGGTCGTCTCTCCCCCGCGGGTTGGTCGTTTCTCTTCGCGGGTTGGTCGTTTCTCTTCGCGGGTTGGTCGTCTCTCCCCCGCGGGTTGGTCGTTTCTCTTCGCGGGTTGGTCGTCTCTCCCCCGCGGGTTGGTCGTTTCTCTTCGCGAGTTGGTCGTTTCTCTTCGCGGGTTGGTCGTCTCTCCCCCGCGGGTTGGTTGTCTCTCCCCCGCGGGTTGGTCGTTTCTCTTCGCGGGTTGGTCGTTTCTCTTCGCGGGTTGGTCGTCTCTCCCCCGCGGGTCAGTCTTCTCTCCCCCGCGGGTTGGTCGTTTCTCTTCGCGGGTTGGTCGTTTCTCTTCGCGGGTTGGTCGTTTCTCTTCGCGGGTTGGTCGTTTCTCTTCGCGGGTTGGTCGTCTCTCCCCCGCGGGTTGGTCGTCTCTCCCCCGCGGGTTGGTCGTTTCTCTTCGCGGGTTGGTCGTTTCTCTTCGCGGGTTGGTCGTCTCTCCCCCGCGGGTTGGTTGTCTCTCCCCCGCGGGTTGGTCGTTTCTCTTCGCGGGTTGGTCGTCTCTCCCCCGCGGGTTGGTTGTCTCTCCCCCGCGGGTTGGTCGTTTCTCTTCGCGGGTTGGTCGTCTCTCCCCCGCGGGTTGGTCGTTTCTCTTCGCGGGTTGGTCGTTTCTCTTCGCGGGTTGGTCGTCTCTCCCCCGCGGGTTGGTTGTCTCTCCCCCGCGGGTTGGTCGTTTCTCTTCGCGGGTTGGTCGTTTCTCTTCGCGGGTTGGTCGTCTCTCCCCCGCGGGTTGGTCGTCTCTCCCCCGCGGGTTGGTCGTTTCTCTTCGCGGGTTGGTCGTTTCTCTTCGCGGGTTGGTCGTCTCTCCCCCGCGGGTCAGTCTTCTCTCCCCCGCGGGTTGGTCGTTTCTCTTCGCGGGTTGGTCGTTTCTCTTCGCGGGTTGGTCGTTTCTCTTCGCGGGTTGGTCGTCTCTCCCCCGCGGGTCAGTCTTCTCTCCCCCGCGGGTTGGTCGTTTCTCTTCGCGGGTTGGTCGTTTCTCTTCGCGGGTTGGTCGTTTCTCTTCGCGGGTTGGTCGTCTCTCCCCCGCGGGTTGGTCGTCTCTCCCCCGCGGGTTGGTCGTCTCTCCCCGCGGGTTGGTTGTCTCTCCCCCGCGGGTTGGTCGTCTCTCCCCCGCGGGTTGGTCGTTTCTCTTCGCGGGTTGGTCGTCTCTCCCCCGCGGGTTGGTCGTTTCTCTTCGCGGGTTGGTCGTTTCTCTTCGCGGGTTGGTCGTCTCTCCCCCGCGGGTTGGTTGTCTCTCCCCCGCGGGTTGGTCGTCTCCCTCCCGCGGGTCAGTCGTTTCTCCCCCGCGGGTTGGTCGTTCCTACCCCGCGGGTTGGTCGTCTCTCCCCCGCGGGTTGGTCGTCTCCCTCCCGCGGGTCAGTCGTTTCTCCCCCGCGGGTTGGTCGTTCCTACCCCGCGGGTTGGTCGTCTCTCCCCCGCGGGTCAGTCGTCTCTCCCCCGCGGGTTGGTCGTCTCTCCCCCGCGGGTTGGTTGTCTCTCCCCCGCGGGTTGGTCGTTTCTCTTCGCGGGTTGGTCGTTTCTCTTCGCGGGTTGGTCGTCTCTCCCCCGCGGGTCAGTCTTCTCTCCCCCGCGGGTTGGTCGTTTCTCTTCGCGGGTTGGTCGTTTCTCTTCGCGGGTTGGTCGTTTCTCTTCGCGGGTTGGTCGTCTCTCCCCCGCGGGTTGGTCGTCTCTCCCCCGCGGGTTGGTCGTCTCTCCCCGCGGGTTGGTTGTCTCTCCCCCGCGGGTTGGTCGTCTCTCCCCCGCGGGTTGGTCGTTTCTCTTCGCGGGTTGGTCGTCTCTCCCCCGCGGGTTGGTCGTCTCTCCCCGCGGGTTGGTTGTCTCTCCCCCGCGGGTTGGTCGTCTCTCCCCCGCGGGTTGGTCGTTTCTCTTCGCGGGTTGGTTGTCTCTCCCCCGCGGGTTGGTCGTTTCTCTTCGCGGGTTGGTCGTTTCTCTTCGCGGGTTGGTCGTTTCTCTTCGCGGGTTGGTCGTCTCTCCCCCGCGGGTTGGTCGTCTCTCCCCCGCGGGTTGGTCGTCTCTCCCCGCGGGTTGGTTGTCTCTCCCCCGCGGGTCAGTCGTTTCTCCCCCGCGGGTTGGTCGTCTCTCCCCCGCGGGTTGGTCGTCTCTTCCCCGCGGGTTGGTCGTTTCTCTTCGCGGGTTGGTCGTCTCTTCCCCGCGGGTTGGTTGTCTCTCCCCCGCGGGTTGGTCGTTTCTCTTCGCGGGTTGGTCGTCTCTTCCCCGCGGGTTGGTTGTCTCTCCCCCGCGGGTTGGTCGTTTCTCTTCGCGGGTTGGTCGTTTCTCCCCCGCGGGTCAGTCGTTTCTCTTCGCGAGTTAGTTATTTCTCCCCCCAGGTTAGAAATTCCTTACCCGCCGGCTAGAAATTTCTCTCCGATAGGCGAGACATTTCCCCCCCTGCGGATAAACATGTCTTTCCCGCGGTCCAGAGATCTACTGTAGTGTCTCTGGCGAGGTCACGATGTTGTGTCATTGACCTGGTTTCTGGGACCCGTTGGGGAGTGAGTGCTATGGGAGCCTGCACGGTGTGTGTATGTGTGTGTGTGTGTGTGTGTGTGTGTGTGTGTGTGTGTGTGTGTGTGTGTGTGTGTGTGCGTGCGTGCGTGCGTGTGCGTGTGTGTGTGTATGTGTATGTATGTGTATATGTATATATATATGTATATGTATGTATGTATATATGTATATATGTATATATGTATATATGTATATATATACATATATATATATATATATATATATTATATATATATATGTGTGTGTGTGTGTGTGTGTGTGTGTGTGTGTGTGTGTGTGTGTGTGTGTGTGTGTGTGTATGTATGTATGTTTGTACATGTGTATATATATAAAGTAATATAATATAATATATATGTGTTTGTATGTGTGAGAGACAGAGACAGATACACAGACACAGACAGACAGAAAGAAAGAAAGGCGGAGAAAGGGAGGGGGACAGACAGACAGGCAGAAAGAGAGAGGGGGAGAGGGAAGTGCACGCGAGACGACTGATTCAGGGGATGAGGATGCGAAAAGGCTGTTTACTTTCTGGTTACCATGGCTAGAGGAGCGCGGCGGGCGTGGGCGTGGGCGTTACGCAAGCGAGTCCTGGCGCTCCGGGATGCTCTCGCGCCCCAGACATGGCTCTCGACCGCCTCGCCTCGCAACCTCGCTATCCAGGACGTGTCTGACGTGGTCGGGGCCGGCCTGGGGGCGTGGGCGGTCGGCTGCGCGCCCTTGCTTGCTTCGTGCTTGGCCAGAGGGCTTGATCACTCACCCTGGGCCTTCGCGGATGCTTACAGTTGCACGAGAGCGTCTGGGCGGCGTGCTCTCTGCCCCGCCAACAAAGAGGCGGGCGCGCGGCCTCAGATCAATAACATTTACGGAAAGCGCGCCTCCTTCCCACAGCGCGGCTTTCAAGTTTTGCGATTTTCAACTCGAGGGATGCACACGGCCACGTTATTTGCTCATTGCATTTTTTTGTCGTTTTTGAAAGAGGGAGAATAGCTGCTGGGCTTTCACGGAGACGTATGATACTAAACACAAAGCTATTATTATTATTATTATTATTATTATTATTATTATTATTATTACATCATCATCATCATCATCATTATTATCATTATTATTATTGCTATTATTATTGTTATTATTATTATTATTATTATTATTATTATGTTGCTGTTGTTTTGTTACTGTTGTTATTAATGGTGATGATTCATAATTGCAATAATAATAATAATAATAATAATAATGATAATATGATAATTATAGTAATAATTATTATCATCATCATCATCATCGTCATTTATCTAGCTTATTTGGGTTATTTATTACGCAACTTTATGGCAGAATACAAATGAATCATTAAGTTTCATATGCTAATATTTCTCTTTAACCATATGCTACCTATGATTTGTCTGCATACGCAGCTTTGGTATCTTTATTTATATCCGTATGTATCTATACATTTGTTTGTGTATCATATATGACAGAGTTGAATGTGTTATCACTTTCGTATGGTATATTCACCCCACTCTTGGCAGTTAACTGACGGTGGCTTGTAAGTGAAATGCTACGTGATTTGTCCGTAGAGTTATACATACAGATCTGTCAAATCTTGGCGTTATTCATCATTGATCACAGTTATCCGTAAACAGCATTCGAGTATGCTGACTGTGATGAAAATAAGGTATTTTCGTATGCTCATGGAGAAATATGTACGTGTATGTGTATATAAATACGTAAACATAGATTTATATGTTTATATGTTGTGCGCATATTTTACACATACGCACACGCGCGCGCACACACACACAAACGCACACCACACACACACAAGCACACACACACACACACACACACACACACACACACACACACACACACACACACACACACACACACACACACACACACACACGCACAAGCACACGCACACACACACACACACACACACACACACACACACACACACACACACACACACACACACACACACAAACAAACACACACACAAACACACACACACACACACATAATCTCACACATATGTACAAACATATGCCCATATAACACAACCCCTCACAGGTCCCCCCCCCCCCCCACATGCAGCCTCCTACATATAGCCCCTTCCCCCATACCCCCCCCCCCCATAACACAACTGATTCAAATCACTGAAGAATAGAAATCAAAAGTAAATTGATTGATTTAAGTCAGTGGCAATAACTTAATTTTATTTCTAAAAGCTTTGTCGTTGCTTTCTTACTAAAACCACATTTTTAATATTCTCGTACCTTCTTTCAGGTTACCGTTGCTTCAAGGCCGTGATGTTTCTAACAGGCTTCATCTTCGCTTCGGTGGTGGTGTACCTGATATGCCTGAGTGAGGACCTGCTGCCCTTGATTGGCAATGCAGGCGTGTCTCTCGGGGCAGGCGTCATGTTCGGCCTCATCACGATGCTGGTTCAGTATGTGGGCCTCTTCATGACTGGTCTCCACACTGGTCTCTTCCTTGGTGTGGCAGGCATCGCTATAGCCTACAAGTGGTGAGCTAAATGTTTTGGGGAAGCACAGAGTTGATCGGGGAAAATGTATTAAAATTGTTTGTGGAGTTGATTTTAAAGTTCTGCATTTCTCCCTTGAGAAAAGAAAGAAAGGGGGGTCTAGAATATTAAATTACTCAATATACACAGTCTATTATTTTTAGGTATATAATATATATATATTTTTTTTATCAACTTCAGGTGGGTCCCAAGCAGTGTGTGGCCAGTGGTAGGAATCCTCCTTGCTGCAGGCCTGTTGCTGGCCATCACAACCCTGTACTTCCAGAAGGGACTGACCATCCTGGGCACAGCCATCAGTGGAGGAGCCATCATGTCTGCCACACTAGACTACTTTATTGAGAAGGTGAGAGGCCTGATGACGGAAAGCAATGATTTTCAATAATTTCATTTTGTAAGGCAGTATTCATCACATTTTGTAAATTGATAGAAGTCGAGTAGGTCATTTAGGGTGAGTCAGAATTTGTCTTTCCAAGTATATGTAATATATTTGTTTATTTCTACATTATTATAAACTATATTTATTTGAATGATTGAATTACTTTTCTATTAAATAACTCCTCTACCTTTTTTATTTAAAGTTCCTGATGGTGCGTTGGTTTGAGGACCGACTGAAGGTGGTGGAGAGCGAGCCTCCATGCTGGTTCTCGTGGATGATCCTGGGTGTGTGGCCCTTCATGGTGCTGGTGGGGAGCCTCACCCAGTGGAAGATTACAGGCAGAGGCATCTATCATCAGCAGTGTAAGTGTTTGTAGTATGTCTTCAATTCTCAAAGGAAGGAAGGTAGAGGTTCAGCGTCTGTGTGTCCCTTGGCAGCAGGTGTCAGCCGAGAGAGTCTCCATTTTGTTGAACTTCCACGCGCCACACAAGGCCTGGATGATACTGGTATTGTGCCAATCAGGATTTACAGTGATATCCAGTGTACCCTTTTAAAAGTAATTTGATGTACCCTTGCATGTGTCTGCCTGTTTAGGTGTCATCATTTCAACTATATGATATGCATACCAAGAGGGAGAAATACTACATCCTCACTAAATTAGTGTTCTGAAATTACGTCTATCCATCTGTGCCTCTTGTCTTTAATAATGAATGCCACAGTATAAAAGAGGAAAAGAATAAGATACATCGATATTACTGTCAATAAGAAGGAAAAATATCCTCAATACCAGTAAATGCTCTTTAATCTGCATATGATGAGCATTAGCATCGATGGCAATATTTCCGAAGTTGTCAGTAACGTATGGGGGGAAGAAGCATTAGTTTGTGAGAAATATCAATATCCAAGATATACAGCTATTACTATCTATTGTATGTAATTCTGCTTTGATTACTCCCTTTTTTTTGTAAATTGTTTTGGGAGGATATTACCTTTAGCTTTAAAATTAAGACTGATGGAGATTGCAAACTGCACACTGCAGATGCCCCGAGTACTTGTCAGTTTAATGTTAAGGTAATGGTATTTTTTTTTTGTTTACACAACTTTGCTAAAACATGTGTTTAAAGAAAAGAGATCATGGAATAATGCACAGAGATATTATTTTCAGGAAATAAAATAAATTTATCAATTTCTCCAAGTGTTTGGCTACTTTGTAGATAATACAAAGTCTTATATTAAAGAGCCTTTACTAGCATAAGAAATGTCATATTATGCACACATCATGGTACTGGTGTGAGAGGAAGGTGTAGAGATACCTACTTTTTATTTTTTTTTATCCTAACCCAACCCAGTTTTTATTTTCAGTAGAATTATGATTTCGGTTACTTTCTTGCAGTGGTGCCCTCCAAAAAATCTCGAAGTGTGAACCTCCAGCGAATGAGGAGTCGAGAGGCCCGGGCTGAGATGCGCCAGAAGAAATACCGGTATTTGTATCAAGTTCGTACTGCTCACGGGGACATCATCAGCCAGGTGAATATGCCAGTGTCCGATCTCAGATATACCACTGTTAGCGAGGCTTAGCAGTGTCTGTCTGGCGGATACGTGGTGGTGGGACTAACTGGTGGTTGTGTCGTCTAATGCAAGTGTCCAGGTATGCACTGTTGTCACCCTGTTAACGTCATGTTTACTGCCTTCTGCCTCCCTCTACAGTCTATGACATCTTCCTTGGTGAGGTACAGACCATCTTCTTCAGCATTATTGTGAGTTTTAAATACCTCAATGGATATAACAAAATCACTAAATATTAGATACATAAGACTACTACTTCTTCCTTTCATTCATTCTTAATATGTTTCCTTGGAGCTTCT